AGGGAAGGGAAGGGAAGGGAAGGGAAGGGAAGGGAAGGGAAGGGAAGGGAAGGGAAGGGAAGGGGGGGGAGGGGAAGGGAAGGGAAGGGAAGGGGAGAGAGAGGAAGGTTGGGGACAATCCCTCAAGCCTTCTCAGACTCCCCCCCCCATGCCAAATTCTTAAATTTTTCCTTGAGGAATCCAAGATTGTGAAATAGGATTTCAAATTTGTAGTGTAGATATCTGGGAGGGAAGGGAGGGAGGGAGGGAGGAAGGGAATGCACCTAACCACCTTAAAAAATCTTTGTGTTTCACCCAAAAGAGGCGGTGGGGAGGGAAGAGGAGGGGGACACCCAACGCAAACACGGGCTGAGCTGCCAAATACCTCTTTCTCTTTCAGGACTTTAGCTGACCACAGCCTAACCGAGAAGCAGGGGACAAATAAATAAGATACGTTATGCAAAAAGAAAATGATTGTACACATAATATATCTAAGCTATAACTAATTTAAATAAAGTTCCATGCTTTGTTGAAGCGTCGGTGACTACTTAAAAATGGTGAACCTTTGCAATAAATAGAGGGGGAGGAGAGAAGTAATGTATATAATATAGCATTTCCCCCCTTTGTAAACGTTTTCCCAGTTAATCAAGAGCAAATCATTTTCACAATAAATACAATTCCATAACTCGCAAAGCAATTGGAGAAAAGTGTCTGCAAACATCTGAGCATGTTTGCAGAAGGTGCTGTGTGGGTGATCCATAATCTTAAAACACATAAGGGATATTTCTTACAAAGTCTCCACCAACCCCCATACAAAATGCAGGAAAACTGTGTTTGGATTTGCAAAATTTACCTTCTGCCCCTCGCCTGAAATGCCATTAAGAACCCAAAGGTTTTCCACAAATAGTAAGAAAAACTGTAGCGCTAACATTTTTTTTTCTCCACAAAGTGTCCAAAATAGAACAAAATTAATTTGTCGGTTTGGAAAGATCTGTCTAGCATCTTCTTCTCTGGCAGAAAGGAATGTTTATTCACAATAGGATATGAGAAACTGTCCGGCCTTTCTCGTATAAAAAATAAATTAAAATTTAAACCTTCACTGTCTCCATCAGAGATGACTTAATGGCATCTTCGAGAAGCTGATTGTCTGTAAAAGGAGCAGGGGTTTCTGGGACAGATTCAGACAAGCCAATCAGGGACTCCAGGAAACAGCTGCTCTGATCTGCAGGCTGAGCCAAGCTGGGGAAGTTGGGCAATTGGAGTTGCAAAGCTGAAAAATTGTCCAAGTTCTCATATTCCTTCAAGGAGTTGTAGAGAGGTTCCAGGTTGTAATCCGAGAAGGACTGGAAAAAATCCAGAGAGTCTGAGGAGAAGCTCAGATCCATGTAGTTCTTGGAGCACAGTTCTGCCGAGGAAGATGAAGAACAGCTGGGGACCCCTCCATACGGTCCATTGGAGGTTTCCTCAAGGAAACCACTTGGTCCCTGATTGGCATTCTCATCCAAGCATTCTGTGATGTTTGATAAATGGCTGAAACCATTGCCGGGGCCCAACTTTTCAGCCGTGTTGGTAGCACATTGGTTTTCCACATCCACGCTGAAGAAACCAGTAGGGTGGAAAGAACTCAAATTATCCTGGCAGTTGCCAACACTACTGTTGTCTTCTTCTGCATCAGAATCGCTGAAATGCAGGATCCGAGTCAGGCCATCATCATCGATGTCCGACTGGGACTTCTCAGACGGGGCAGTTTCATACAGCTCTTCCAAATCCTCGCTCTGACTGGATGACACCGATGAGTCAGTCATGTTGCTGCTGCAGCTGTTCTCGCCAACAGTCTCCAGGTCGGTGTTGAACTGGAAGGCAGGCGTCAGGGTTAGGGTCCTTTCCTCATAGGGTGCCTTGTTGGCCGGATACCCAAATGGATGAACGTGGTCCCTGAATGGTGGCTCAGATTCAAGATTCCTGTCACTGTTTTGCTGGTTCTTTTCCAATTCCAGCTTCATGATGGTGTGGATGAAGTGTGTCTGCACACGAGCCTGGTTGAACTCAATTCTCCCCTCTGTGTTCCCACAACCATCTTTGGTGCAACCGCAAGGAAATGAGGTGTGATCCATCTGTTGGAAGAGAGATCAAACATTTAGAAGACACACCTAACATCAGCCTCATGATAATTCCATTCTGTTGGATCCTAGGACATCAGCATCTGGATATCATTAGCAACATTATTTGCTCTAAGCCTCTTAAGCCCCCCGAGGACTGTGTCATATATGTTTTTTAAAGGGAGATCTCATCTTCCAAGGACATGGGAATTATCCTCTACTGCCAAAATATTTCAGAGGATAATCAGGTAATTTGGGACACATTAAATTGTTTTATCTGATGTCACACCATTATTGCTGACACTGATTGGCAGGAACTCTTCAAGATTCCTGGCCAAAGGTATTTTCTGGCCCTAGCAAAGCGTGTTGTCTAAAGTTGGGTTCTAGCCATCCATATGGATGTATGTAATGTTGGGCATTCACATGTGCAGTTTGATTAAAGAGCAGGTCCCCTTCAAAACAAGAAAATTCCATGTGCAAATCATGACAAAGGCTATCACAAGATCTTTGCTAAGGAACATTTTTCTTACCCATTTTGAAAGAAATACAGTGGTACCTCGGTTCACGAACTTAATTCATCCCGCGCCTCTGGTCGCACCCCGAATTGGTCGCGACCCGAAGCAAATTTTCCCATAAGGTTCAATGTAATTACCGTTAATCCGTTCTGGTGTGGAGGACAGGGAGGTGGCTATTGCTTGGAGGGAGAGTCCCCCTCCCTACGACCACGTGTCAGCATGGCTGGCTGGGGAATTCTGGGAGTTGAAGTCCACTCATCTTAAAGTGGCCAAGTTTGGACAACACTGAATTATACCATGCCAAGATTGTATGTCAGCAGCTTAGCTCAATTCCCACTACTTTGGATCTATCAAGACATCAAACACTGGCTATTTTTCTCACACAGGGTTCGCCAAGAAAGTTATTGTACAATACTGGAAAGATAAATTCACACATACTGTATGTGCTGATCAACATCTGAATTAAGTTTTTTTTTTTTTTTTTACAAAGGGGCAGCGAAAAGGACTTTTGAAAGACTAGGTCAAATGTCTTAGCATTGTTTTGTTTATGATAATGTTTTCCAGGCCGTCCCTGCTTTCCTTCATGTTCATGGTAGCTCCCGGTGTTATCATATATATCATAGATATCCAAAATGGTGATTGTTGTTTGATATAATGTGTTTTTGCCCCCCAGGGTCAACTCTTAACTCCGTTCTGAAGAAATGGAGTACCTTTGGGGAAAATATTTAAGTTCAGTATCTCCAGCTGCATCAGGGGAATGAAATAAAATTGCAAACTGAAAAGAAGAATGGAGGCAGGAATGCCATTTTTCTTCCTCCTTTGACAAACATGGCCTATTTTTTGTTTGAATTCCAAATAGTTTCCTGGATTGGCTCATTAGTTAGCCCTCCTCCAAGCCTCCCAAGCCTTTTGAGATTTCATACATCTTTTCAAATATATTTTGATTTAAATTTGGTAGCCTGCAACGTTTTGCTTCGGGGGGAGCGATAGCACAAACCTGGCTGAGAACGCAACCAGGACCAGCAGAAGTCCTCTGCTGCTGACACTCCTTTTTTCCTTTTGGATCTCTTCAAAGAAGACCGCCTACCTGGCATTTAATTCCTGCCACGCTGCAGCTACAGGTTTCGGGGTCGCAGAACTCCTGGCAGTCACAGCCACAGTCTTCCCGGGAAAGACGGATGCTTTGCAGCTCCCGCTTCTCCTCCTTATCGATCTTCTTGACCCCCATGGCCTTGAGCAAGGTGCGCCTCTTCTTGGTTGGGTAGGGCTGGAGGAAGAAGCCATCCTCCATCTCCACGCCACTGGTGTCGACGTCGTCATCCGAGATGTCCTCTGTAGTGAGCCGGTTGGCTTCCTCCGACTCCTTCGTACCGTTCATCGTGAGCTGGGTGGGGAGAAGGCAGAGGAGATGCTCAGGCCTGCAAGACGTCCTAGCCAGGAATCCATTCCCATCTCTAACCCAACATTTGGGGTGGGATTTCACCCAGGCAGGTCAAGTACAAGCCCAGTTGCCTGTTGCCGTGCTGAAAAATTACCCTGTGTATTTTCCTACCAAGTCATTCGACTGGATGAAAGGGAATTTGCTTTCAGAATTTCTTTCTAAGAAGAAGAATATTGGGGAAAGCTTCCTTGTTTCGCAACCAGGCAACCTAATGTCTGTCTATCTATTAAAAAAATTCACTTTATTTCCTAGCTTCCCATGTTCCTCCTAGAAGCTGAACCAGACTGAGATGGGGGGAAGGTGCAGGATGATGGAAAGGGGGGAAACAGAGAACCTGATTCTTCTGCCCCCTCCAACAATCAACATCAGCTCGAAACCACCACCAAGAGAAATTCTAAAGGAATTCTCAAACATCCCAAGGACTTTGGTCTTCTTCATGGAACGGCTGAGGAACGGCAAGGCAGGTTTCTGGGCCACTACCTCGTAAAGGGGGCCTGGGTTGTTCTGAGATTTAAAAAAAAGAAATGGGAACTTAAAAAAAATCTTTAAAAGTGTTTAATTTTTTTTTAATTAACTAAGAACAGCCCTGGGCTAAGTTCTTTCCCCAAGAGTCCAAACTCCATGGCACGCTTTTTTCCAACTCTCCTCAAAGCAGCCTTGTGGCATTCCCACGTTGCTCCTGGTTTTTGGGCTAAATGGATTTATCTGCCTTTTGGGGCCAAGGGGAAGGAAGGGGGACCCCCAGCTAATTGGAGTTCCCTGAATCCCCCAAGTGATGAGGTGACAACCTGAATCTGGGGACCTGGAGAAGATTCTTACTTTCAACTTAAGGGCTTCAAGCTTCTCTTCTTTCAACCTCTCCCTGAACTTCTCCCGCCGGACCACCTCCTGCTCCTTGCGAAACTCAGCCAGGGTGAACTCCCGGGAGAAGCCGTGCTTGCTAACCATCCCCAGGGTGCAGCCCCCACGGCTCGGCACGCTGGTGAACCCTTGGCAACGCTGGAAGTAGAAGACGGTGACCCGGTCAAAATCGACATTGTTCCGCTTTAACCGCTTGGTCTTCTTCAGGATGGATGTGGCTGCGGAAAGAGGGACAGGGGAAGGGAATGAGCGTTGGCTGCCATCAACCCTTCGACAAACATCAGCATCTTTTCTCCTTCCGTCCTGCTTCCCTCTAAACTAGCGTTTCTCAATCTCAGCAACTTTTAAGACGTGTGGACTTCAACTCCCAGAATTCCCTAGCCAGCATGCTAGCTAGGGAATTCTGAGAGTTGAAGTCCACACGTCTTAAAGCTGCTGAGACTGAGAAACACTGCTGTAAGCCCCTGAGGACTAGGAGCTTGCATTTTCATTCCTATTGACTCGAGACACCATGATGTTAATAAAAAAGAAAGAAATCAACCAGCAATCAATATGTACCCACTTGCACAGGCCAAGAACTGGCTACCTGACCTCACTTGAGTGCAGTTGCTAGAAAATATGCTGCTACAACTGTTTCCACTTACAGGGTAAGTTATATTGTTTTTGGAGAGTGTGAACTGGGCCGTGCCCACCACACCAAGAAAAACCAGGAAGGCCAGCCTTCTGCAAAGAAAAGGCTAACTCAGAAAACGACCGCAAAGCAGACAGTTCTCAGCTGGGTTAACTAAGAGAACCAGGTCTTTTAAAAGCCTTGGAAACGTTCTGGCCCAAAGAATGAAGCAGGAAGAGGAGTGAAAAATGGCACGTGTTTCATCCTCCTTTCCTCAGATCCATTTTCCCTTCAAAACAGCAAAGTCTCTTCCCACTTTATCTTCACAACCCCCTTGAGAGGTAGGCTCAGCCATGAGATGCGCCACCCAAGTTCTGGGTTAAGGTCCGAGTTGATGTCCACCAAAGGGCACCACGTTGGGAAAGGTTTAAGTTCCCTCCTGCTGCCAGCCCAGCTGAAGCTGGCGGCAGCCGGGCGCACGTTTTCAGCCACCCTCTTCCTCTTCCTCTTCCTCCGATCCACGTGCCTTCCCCAGCACTGCAGCTCCGGCAGGAGGGGACTCCATGCGTAGCCAAATACTTGGGCTGGCTTGTATTTAGGCCAGGAGCCAGACCCGGCCTCCTTCCCTCCCTCGGCACGTGCCCAGCCAGAACTGAGCTCAGAAGCTCTTGAGGCAGGTGTGAGTTTGCAAGGACATTCACACACACCCCGCCCTGCACGGGCCACACTTGTGCATGAAACAACACGGAGAAATATTCATCCCGTGCTCTTTAACTACTCCATGCGCCGCCTCTGTGCCGTCAGCCAGGAATCCTGGAGGGTATCGACAGAACCAAAAATCTTTCCTTTGATTCCTTTTTTTAAAAAAAAGAAAGGCAGACCCCCCCCCCCCCAGCTACTTCCCTGCAGACAGGCAGGAGCACAAACCCATCCGGGGGGCGGGGGCTGATCGGAGGACATTTGCGCAGCCCTCCGCTGGGAAGAACCGCAAGCCGATCGCCTGCTCCCCGGGGTCTCATCTGACAGCAGCTGCCAAAACACTTAATCTCCGTACAGGTGAGCCCAGCATAAACCAGACGCTCGAGCTGTTTATCTTAAAGTGCCGACCTGCCTAACAGGTTTGCTGGCTTTTGGACAAAGTCTGAAAGCTTTCATCGTGTTGCTGGGATCAGGGGCTGCCTCCCTCCCTCCCTTCCGTAAAGCACCCTCCTTTATTGTTTCCTAAGTCAAGAATAAAAGTGACAGCCAGGCAGCATGGCCAGACAGTGGGAGAAGCTCAGCAGGCCGGTAAGACATGACGGGATGGGAACCTGGAGAAGAGGAAGATGAGCTATTGATGGAAATCTTCACCACCACCCCTTCTCCCCACCCCTGCAGCTCTGGGACCAGCCAAAAGTGCAGCCTGAACACGTGGCTTTAAATTTCAGCCTCTCACATTTCACCATCGCTTAAAAAGTGTTACTTGGAACCACGAGGACTCAAAACCTGGAGAAAGTCTGTCTCTGCTCCCCATCCACGGCGCGACAAGCCCCGTGACACGCAACAGTTACAAGCAGCGTCTTTTCCCCTTCTAGGAACCCTCCTTTCCCGCTCTTTATTTTTTAATTATAGTTATTACAATTATTATATAACAATAGATTATATAACATACAATAAGGTATTATAATTGTTATAATAATATGTTGTTGTCGTCGTTATTATCTTTATCAGCTTAGGTTATTTGGGTGGTGAGATCCACAGACACCGTCCTCATGCGAGTCCCAATTTAGCCCCTGCAGCGGGCATCTGAATTGCACCCAACCTTGCATTTCGGCACGTCCAAAAAAATAGATGGGTTGCAGATCCGACACTGGCCACGTTCTCCTCGGTTTCAGGTACACCTCCATACAAAACCCATGGGCTGCTCTGAGCAGTCAAGGTGGGGGGACAAGATTTCCCCCTCCCTCCCCAGCCATTTATTACGAGCATCAAGAGTGTGCTTTGCAACTGTTGGCTCTGCAAAGCAGCACCTGGCTAACTTAGGGTGGTTTAGCTTAAGCTGGCAATTTGCAGAATTCAATTAAACAGAGATACACGGGGGTCAAACCAATCTGAGTGCGCTCACGAGACACGGAGAGCTCGATCGATCTGGCATCCATTTATTTAAAATGGGCACAAGTCTTCCAGAGATTAAATAATGAGGTGGGGAAAAGGAAGAGCTACGAGCTGAAGCCCATCCAAGGGATTGGCAGACGGGAATTAAAAATGCAATCTCTGTAGTGACCAGGTTCTAGCAACCCCCCTGACCCGCGACCCCCAGCAAGGGGTGCTTTCAAAGCCAAGCCGGTCAGCTTAAACGCTTAAGATGCCATAACCTTGATTCTGCAGAGAGAAAAATACCACTCGTCAGCCATATTCCTCACAGGAAGCTGGCTGTCCGATTTGCACGGGGCCCAAGGTTTTAGGTGAAATCGTTCCTTTTCGAGGAGTCAGCTTCTCAAAACCCAAGAGGATTTTCATCGGGAGGAAGATAACAGGCAGAGAAATGGAGCAACTACGTGGGAAAAACGCCAAAGAGCGACCCAGTCAATCCCGGTTGGTCTTCGATTTAGCTTGTTTTTATAGCGATTTGGCCCCACGTTGCCATCTCAGGCTGATCGTGAGAGACAACGGGATTCTCGGTAGGCCAAGCCTCTGATGTACCTGTCAGAAGCATAAACACTACAGAGCCACTGAGCCCCGGCGCACGTGTGTGCCTAGAGGTGAGGGCTTTGGAGAAGACCCATAGCAGCGTTGCTCAACCTTGGCCGCTTGAAGGAGTATGGACTGGCGGCTTGAAGGAGTGTGGGCTTGAAGGAGGAGTGTGGACTTCAACTCCCAGAATTCCCCAGCCAGCATGGCTGGCTGGGGGATTCTGGGAGT